CCCCCCCCCCCCTCCCCCCCCCCCCCCAGCCACTACCTCTCATGTATAGTGCTCATGCACAAAGCAAAGCAGAACTTGCAAGTCTTAGCTGTTCTGCATTAGTCTGATCTGCTTCACTGCCTTCCCCCACTGAAGAGTAACGTGTATGTCATCCTCAATGTTACCTATCAGAAGTTTCAGGTAACTTTTCTCACTTAACGTGATGTTCAATCAGCAGATTCTTCTCACCCATCACTTGACACTGCTCATGCTAAAGCATATATTTCTATTTCTGATGTTACTGACATAAGACGTGGCACTAAATACTTCCTGAATGTGCTCTGCAAGAGACCAAATACCACAGCAGTCATGAAAACAATTTATAGTTTCATTATATCCCCTGACAAGAATACTTTGTCATTATGGGCTCTTGCACAAAGCAAGAGCATCAGCACTTCCATACTGTTAAGTCAGTGCTGTTCGTTGGGACAAAAACCATTACTCGTATGTACTACTTGCTTGGAATTAACTTTGTTAACCTCAATTTCAAGTCAATGAGAAAGGGAAAAGTGAGTTTCGTATATTAGTACAGCCAACCTTTTCCAAAAATGGTAAATGCTTAGTTGCAAAAAAGTGCGAAGGAAATGAGAAAAGCAATTCCAAGAAGGATTTGAACTCTCAAAAAGGACACTTCCACCTTGGATTAATTTTATTTCTGGCATTACTGAAGTTGAAATCCTGCCATAAATTTTCTGGATTATGATGCCTTGGCATCAACAAAGGCAACTGTACCTATGTACTTATGTCCTTACTGATACCTTACACAAATGTCAAATCCCCTGATAAAGCACCGAAAGGCATCAGAAGCTAAACTTTAATACTGTCAGCAAGTGATTATAGTGTCATGGTAAACTGCTTCAAACTTGATAAAATAATTCCTTCCCTCACAGTGAAATATTTGACTCTGACAATCTCTCTTCTTTTTTTTTTCCAGTTTCATCCCATGTCTTAGTAATTCTAAAATATGTCTTTGCTGAATTGTTTTTAAGTACTAACCTGCTACGGTAACTGCAAATAAAAAGGAGTAAAAGCAAACCTCACAATCCCTTCCAAAAAAACCAACATACCACTGAACCAAGTAGCCTGTGCTGTTGTTTTAATCACCAGGAGGAATGAAGCTGGCCCATCCAGCCAACACCCATGCAGAGCAGAACAACCTGCACATTGTACACAATGGGAGGGGCAAGAAGGCAAACATCTCACTTCAGGACACCCACAGCACCAGCAGGTCCCTCTGAGCCTTGCCACGAGTGCTGGTGCATGGAACAGGGATGTGAGTCGGAAGTGAACTGGAGCACATGGGTAAAACAATAAACCCCAGTACTTATCGGGCAGGAAATACAGACCTAGTGCCAAACTAATCTTGCTTCTGCCATGAGTCACAGCCCTCCACAAAGGACACACACAAAGCACACAGGAAGGCTTCACCTTTCACAGCAGCTCTGGCAGGGGCAAGGGAATTCTCTGCTTATTAGCCTGAGGATAGCAAACCATAAACAGATTGTGGGGACAGTTGTGTCCAGGTTGTAAATGAAAAGGAATAGTGATGCCCTCCTTGTTTAAATTATATTTTAACTTGATGAATTACATACTGATGATGTGCCATACGGAAGGAAGGGGCTTGGCATCTCTCATCAACGTACTGTTTGAATTTTCCTATAAAAATGACCACATAGAAGACTTTTTGAAGTCGTCTTTGCCTTTTGCATATATCGACTTCCCCCAGATAAATGGAATAAACCCAGTGATAATGTAATTTGTTTCCATGGGCTTATGGTATGAGAAACAATGAAGCCACAGCATTTCTGTGGAATCCAATTATTCAACAGAGCTGCTTGCAGTTCCCATTACTATTTCTGAAGGAAAAGCAAGTTTTACAAAGACAGGCCTCAAAGAGGTTATTCAAGTTTCTAAACGCTAAAACAAAAAAATAGCAATAATGGCCACTAACTGACCTAACAACTGTACACCAAAAATGGATTCTATGCAGATAAACAACTGAGTCCCATCAACAATTTCCCCTACATGGACAAATAAGTGCAACAAAATTGGTATGCTGTCAGAAGGAACATAGGAGTGTGACAGTCTCTTTGGAGCAATGCAAGCAATAAGGCAAATTTTCTCAGACAGTCTGAAAAAAGTACTCAGTAGATGCTTCTGGCATTCATTCAGATACAGATTTCTACCTCTGCAACAGAAGGAAAGGCTACATCTTGTGTCTGTCAGTGAGGCAAATAAGTGAATTCTGTTATGCACTACAGTTACTATGAAATATTCTTATTGTCTTTTGTTTCTTTGAAATTAATGTTACAAAATAACCCATGAATTAAAAAGTTAAACAAGAACCAGCTGCTGCACTTCCAATCTAAAAGCTACAACGTACAACTTTTCATATCTGTCTAGTGACTTTTATCTACCAATTTGCTGTTATCTGCAATAAAGCAAATTATAATTGCTACAAGGAAGATCATAATAATTAAAGGAATATATATGACATCCTACAATACTGCCTGAACTGCTTTACAGCCAGATGACTACTTTAGTGAAATTGAGTAAAAAGAGACTGACATTACAGGAGAGTGTAACTGCTCCAAGGTGACCCTCTACATCGAACACTTACTATTTGTCCATTGCTATTTTTAGTGACAAATCTGGATAGATCTCATTAATGACGCTGTAGACATGGTCTAATAATCTGATGAAGCTGGGACACTGTCAAGGTTTTAGACTTTCTTTTTTTAAACCAACAAACACACTGAACTCCTATCAGATCTTTTTTTTTTAATTTGTACAAATTATTGGCCCATACCTGGGTATTTAATGGCAAGTAGTGTCAGGGAAAATATCTAATTTTCTGAGAGTAAAAGGAGAGATACTATTTTCAAAGTGCACTTTGGAATCACTATGGATCATATTCTGCAATCCAGGACCTCGTGTCCTCCTAAGTGTTGATGGGCTACCACATTGTGCCTTGAAACCTATCATCCACAATGGTCTCTGGGAAACCATGAACTTGACTCAACATCTTTTGGACAACAGATCCAACTGCTATCGAACTGCCTGAAGTTTTATGGAATTTCTTCTCCCTGTACTCTTGGAGACAATTTTGTTGTGGAAACTGACGAGTCCTAAAATGCACTGCAGCCTCATTATTTGGGATGTTTGTTGACTGTGTTTCAGTAATGTTGCTCCCTTTGACTTCAGATTAAACTGTTCAGCTGAACTGAAAGAGTCAAGCACTCAAACCCAGAGAAATACACAATTACTGGCCATTTGCCTGCCATCTCATGTCCTCATCTTTGATAAAACCTGAGACAGTGCAGTGACCTTGGTTTTATCCCACAATATCAGCTCTGCTTTTCCTGCTGCCCAGCTCTTGCTTCTCTAGCTGCCTCCCAGCTGCTGCAACACAAAGCAAGCTGCTACCTCCACTGATATAAGTGATATAAGTAGCTCCCCAGAACACCATGTCTTGTCTTGATGAAAGTATTACACTACATCATCTCCACTGGTCATTTAGGAATTTCCATAATTTATTAGTTAAGATAACACTGCTTTGTGATGTGGCTCAGCCTTTAACAGTTTTGTATGCTGTGTATCAGATGACATTATTAATTTCTCTGTGTTTGTTCCACAACATCCCTGTAGGTATCTTAGTCCAAACTGAAATATGGAAACGTGAAAAGCAAACACTTGTCTTGTTGACCAAAAGACCAGAGAGCAGGTCTTCGTAGCACCTCTCCCATAGCTCCTGAGAGTTCTGGAAAGCAGTAAGTGACAGTGCCAGCTCTTTCAGTGTTCCCATTTTCTTTTTCAAGTGACAAAGCCATTACAATGCCAACCCAACCACCTAGGGACCTTAGAGTAGCATCTGCTCCACTTTGTTCTTCCCTATAGGCACTGTGTTTTCCCACATGTTGAAAAGCTCTGAAATCAGTGGCTCCAAAGCCTGTTGGGTCCCCTCACAGAAGTTTAGTGAATTACATTTCATGCTTGGTTTGAAAAGGCAACATGACAGAAAGTTGGAGAGATACTATAAACATGAAAATATCACTAGTTTTCCTTCCTCTTCTCTCTTGTCCACATAAAAATATAAT